ACGATTTCGATTGATCCTCAATCTTAAAAATTTCAAAACCAATTGCAGGGATTTGAATTTACCTATGATAATGAAAAATTAAGCGGGGTGTGTGATAGATTTACCTCCACGTGGTGCACCCTGGGCAACGTATACTCATACGGCTACCTCCACGTGGTGCACCCTGGGCAATGTATACTCATACACCTCCACGTGGTGCACCCTGGGCAACGTATACTCACGATAGACTTACCTCCAGGTGGTGCACCCTGGACAACGTATACTCAAACGGCACGTGGTGCACCCTGGGCAACGTATACTCATACGGCTCCACGTGGTGCACCCTGGGCAACGTTTACTCATACGGCTCCACGTGGTGCACCCTGGGCAACGTATACTCATAAGGCACCACGTGGTGCACCCTGGGCAACGTGTACTCATACGGCAAGTAAGTCTATCAACTGGTGCACCCTGGGCAACGTATACACGGCAAAAGAGTCCGTGGTGCACCCTGGGCAACGTACACTCACACCTTACCTCCACGTGGTGCACCCTGGGCAACGTATTCTCATTCGGCTTACCTCCGTGGTGCACCCTGGGCAATGTATATTTAGATTTACCTCCACGTGGTGCACCCTGGGCAACGTATACTCATACGGCAAAAAAGTCTATTAATCGGCAGTTAACTTCTGACTTTAAACTTCCATGACCCCACTGTATGTCATATTCGACATCTTCCACAGTACTCACCTCACCTTTTTCACTCAACTTTTGTGTCTGTCTCTTTAACATCTTTGAAATACTCTTCTATTCCCCCCTCCCCCTCTCGACTTTTTTTCACTTTGATGTTCCTTCTCTCTGAAGCCTGAAGTCAACTAAAGGACTTATGATAACTATCAAAATGCCTGCCATTTGATATAAATAAATAAATAATGAAAAATTAAGGAACCATGAACAATGCTAGCACGTACCTGAAAGGTCAAGGTTGTCAACTGCTTTCTGCTGTGGCTGCTTGTGGTGTTTCGGTATCAGCAGAGAGAACAGACTCCATTTTTTCATCATTAGCAGCTAAGCTTGCCTCGAATTGGGAGCAGAGGGTACTGATACTACTAGCGGCATTTTCACCGGTACCTTCTGTGTCAACGAAAGACCATTGACTGCTTTCATCATTCGCGTTGGCTAGTGGGGCCAGTGCTACTCCTTTGCCATCAAGAAGTTTGGATTCCCCATTTCCACTTGTAACTTTATCAAGACACCGCTGTTTCGCAATTGAAACTGGGGATGACCAAAGACGAGAGGAAGACCCTGTTCCAGCTACGAGAGGCGCTTGAAGTTGTTCGCACAACCGTTTGAATCTTCGCGTTGGTCCTTGATGGGAAATAGTATAATTTGCATGCATTTTATCCAGAAAGTCCGATATTTTACATAACTTGAGGGTTCATTTTCGATGCCGATATAGTTTACATTTGATCAACCAAAAGGCAAGTGTTAAGTCGGTCTTAGAAAATCAATCAGAATAATAATAAGATCAGCAGCTGAATTGATCCTAGCTAACATTAACAAGCATGTCAGCACTAATAGCATGAAATAGGAGATTGTTAGAAAGGTCTCTTTAATTTATATTATTCAACCCTATTGGGAGAGATACATCACCTCCTCAGCCTCTTTCTTATCATCATACGTTTTCAGCATTCAGTTACCCAATGAAATAAAAGCATCATTTTTATTATTAACAGTAATAAGCATTGACAAAACTTACACTTAATAAGTTTTAATAACTTTATCTGGTAACTTTCTAAATTGCCATTCCTTTTACGTGAGTACTGTCAATTGGCTGATGACAGGAAAAACGAAAGAATACTTTCAACGCGTTGGCTAGCATATTTAAGTAAAAACTACAATCTTGGTAAACACTTTAACTGTGCTCAAGATTTCAAGTAAAATAGAAAAGGTGTGCAATGGTAATTCAAAAATATAATCCACTCCTTTAATATGTCACATATATTTCGCTTACCAGAGAGAAGTTGAAAGCTGACAGCGTAGAGTTCTCGGTCTGTAGTACCATCGGAGGGTGTTCCATTGGAGTTAGCCATTTGACCCGTAGACGCCCGGACAATATCAATTTGCATTTTGACCGGTCGGGCTAGAAGACCCGAACCACTGCCTGCTCGGCGATATTCGGCCCGAAAGCACGTCGGAGAGAGAATTGTGTGCACAACACCAGGAGTTGAGAGCAGAGCCTGCAAAATTCAAGCAAAACAAATCATGATACAGCAGCTGCAAGTATCTTAGCTCATCACCAAATTAGCATCACCGCCTATCACCGCCTAATTTGTTTATCTTTAATTTAGGTCACCAGTCGGCCAAAATCGATGGAGATGGGTGCGGTAGTGTGTGTGTGTGTGTGTGTGAGTGTGTGTGTGTGTGTGTGTGCGATTGAGTGGCCATCAGTTTCTCTGTAGGGATGTGGGCAACATATACACATACGACAAAAAGTCTATTAACCGGTATTTGCCTTCTGACTTCAAACTACCATGACTCCACTGTATGTCATATTCGACCCCTTCCATAGTACTCATCTTACCTTTATTCTGCCTTTGTGTCTGTTTGACTCTTTCACTTCTGCTAATCATTATTCTGCCCCTCCTCTCGACTTTTTGTCACTTTGATGTTCCTTCTCTGTGAATCCTGAAGTCAACTAAAGGGTTATGATAATTATCAAAATGCCTGCCATTTGATATAAATAAATATTTTAATAACCAATCTGTGTGGCAATGTCACACAACCAGAATAAGTGTCTTGCACACCATACGCTCTCCTTGCTCTATATTGTTGAGGTAGATCAGTTAATTTGGCGAAAAAAAACAATTCATACGTGGGGACTTTGTCATCGAGATCGCTGAAGTTAAGTCCAGGCTCATTTCTATAATATCCGCTGTAGTCGATGCGACTTTCTCAAAGCGCATTTTTATAATTTTGTCTTTACTCGAATTCAAACGATGACAAATCATTTGACGCCTTTCATTATTAAAAAGCAAGAAAGGAAACAAGAAGGAAAATAGGGCTGAGAGGGTGTTTGGAATAAAGCTATTGAATTACAAATAATAAAAATGGACACTCTGAATCAGATTGCTACTTTTTTTGAATTTTTAGATATGGTTTACACTCCTCGAATCCACACTATTAAGGTGCCCGAATTTCAGAATTTATCTCGCTCCTTTTAGCTGAATTTATGCTCATAGCGTCAACGGTTAACGGTGTTTGATAATCTTAACCACAATTTATTAAGATATTAATAAGGAGAAATAAGTTACAAGGGTAATAATAATAAGCCATATGAGGTGTGCGATAGACTTACCTCCACGTGGTGAACGTTTTCACATCTGTTAATTATTATTTTGTCCCTCCTCTCGACTTTTTATCACTTTGATGTTCCTCCTCCTTTCTGTGAAACCCAAAGTCGACTAAATTGCTATTGATAACTAGCAAAACGTCGACCATTTGAAATAAATAAATAGACCTCTCTATTGTGAGATTGTTAAGCCGCAAAAGTGAAAGATTTAGGCCATTTGCCATTTCTGTTCTAAGCAATTTACAGATTCAACCGATCTAGCAGCAGAGGTTTTAAGGAAATCATTCTGACTAAATAATAGTAAAACTAAGCCAAAGTTAATCCAAAATGAGTAGATTTACATTCAATCACAGGCTTGTTGTACCTGATCAGAGGAAAAGAAGAAACCAGGGTGAATTTCAAGCAGACTTGCTTATCACGCAAGTTCATTAGAAGGTAATACGTATGAAGAGGTAATTTTACCGGGCGCCCCTGAGGCTGAACGCATAAAAACGTGTGTGAACAGGCGTGAACTATTCCACTTCTTTCTTAAACCAACCTTACCCCACAAATAATCCACTGGT